AAAAGATAGTTTAACCGATTAAGATAAGTTACGAATCGATTAAATTATTAATTTTAAATTTTTAATAATTATTTCGAGTTATTTAAAAATTTCCGCGAATTTTGAGGCCTCTTTGCCATCGAGGGCTCAGAACTTTTGTTCTGTGAGAGATATGAAAAAAGTCATCAATACTTTCTTTTGCAGAATTGCATTGTGAATAACTTTTATTGAAACTTTTTTTCCATACCTTTCATATTTTGCGATATAATCGAATTTGCAATCATTTTCTCCATTATAAGGTACTCTTCAGACATTGCCCTCATTTGACTGGACTACAACCAGTCTTAAGACTGACGACCTTATGATGATGGTTCTGTAAACTAGTAGGTAAATTCATTTCTGGACAATAGATTGTTTATAATTTATTGTTATTCTCATTTTATTAATTGAATATGTAAGATAGAGTTACACAATGTTGTTGTTGTTGTTGTTAGTTAGCACGGTAGGTACAGTGTTAACTAAATAATAATTACTTATATTATCACAGATAAAATTAAACGTTTGACACAAAATTAGCTAACAGAAAATCAGAAACTGTTTCTGATGTTAATTTTTTCTATGAGGACGTGCAAATTTGTAGGATCTCTTTCTTCTTTTTCTTCGCATGTCTTGTTCGCAAGCAGTGATCCCGTCGCCGACGCATGACGCGTAAGCGATTACATGCGGTATGACATTTTGTTCGTATGCCCCACTAAATAAGTGGGCCCATGGTCCCAAAGCATAAATTGGCACATCTTCCCCGTCGTGAGTTTCCCGACTGAGCGGAATTTGAACAGGAAATTTGTAATCTTTTTTGCCTAAATAAAGTAAATTCCGTATTAGTCACAGTAGCAATTATTGTACGTAATTAAAATAATTATAAATTTAATTATGGCTAGTTTCGATAGTAGAGGGGAGGAGGTCGAAGGGACGGTAAAGATTAAAAATGTTTTGGAACCGAAGCTAGTAATCACTTAGAAAACCTTCTCGAGCGAAGAATTTTGAAAAGCATAAGCTAAGCATTAACTACCTACAAAAAAAAACTGTTTCATTAATCTAATGCGTTTCTCATTTCCTTGATATTATCTAATGAAAAATAGTAATTTAGAAACGGTCTTAATAAGCTATAAAACAAATACGTAAGTCCTGAAGTAGGTAATGAAAATGTAAAAACATTTTACCAAGTATGTGCGCTCTCCAATTGCCTCCTACCCGGGTTATGACGTTGCCGAGCAACCAAAGAACGAAGATAAATAAGAGATCACAAAGTAAAATGAGCAAATGTGTATCTATACTGACATCTTATTAATGATAATGTTGAGAATACACCCGACGTAGAATGTGGTTTGAATAACACAGTAACTAACGAAATATGATGGGAAAATATATGACAAAAAAGCTAAATCTAAAGAAATGGAAATGGAAATGGCTTTCTCTAATCCGACATATCAATTTCTTTATTTTATTTAAAAGGGAATTAAGGTGTTTTAAAAAAATCCAAAAGCGTTCGAAATGTGGTGTTATAGGCGGATGATGAGGATAACGTGGGTAGAAAAGGTTAGAAATGAAGAGGTATTAGAAGGACTAGGAGAACATAAGACTCTATGGAAGTCAATAAGAAGTAGGCAAGATAGGTTAGTAAGACACCTCCTCAGGCATGAAGGTGTAATCAGAGACATATTAGTGGCAGAAACAGGAGTTAGGAGGGGTAGAGGTAGACCTAGATTAGATTACTATTTGCAAATAATTAAGGATGTGGGCTGTTCTAGTTTTAGGGAAATGCGAAGTTTAGCTCAGGATAGGAAAGAGTGCAGGTACGTGTCCAACCAGTCTTAGGACTGACGACCTGATGATGATGATGATGATGATGAAAAAAATCCAAACCGATTCAAATTCATGTAGACTTACTGCTAAGTAAATGCTTTAATTAAAATTTTGTGATACATACTTTATATGAAAATAAGGGTGGTTCTGAGTGAAACATAAGAAATTAGATTTAGTGCCTTCTTACCCATGTGGTCTTCTCTCAAATCCCGCCTTTTTCCACTTTTATCATACGCGTATCCTGGACCATTGGAGTACGTGAGAACCGAGTATGGCAAACCATCCTCTCCCAATCCTGCTAATCCAAAAATGTCACTACCCCTACCAGCATAACCATTAAATGTTAACGTATGCCCGTGGTCAGCTGTCACAACTATTAACGTGTCGTCTCTAAATTAGATCATAAGAACTCAAATGTATTTAACCCTTTTTAGAAAAAAACATGCAGTTAATTCCATAAGTTTGGTATCCATTATATAAGTAATATTTTTCTTATTGACTTAAAGATGGTTTCAGTTAAAATAGATCGTTATTTATTAAATTATTTTTTTATTACAAGCCATAGCGGTAATTTCGGCAGCACCCGAGCGCCTTAGTAGTGTATTAACTCCGAACATAGATGTCGCAGCGGTGTACTTAACGCGATAAGAAAAATAATAACTATTGCTGCCTGTAAATCTGGGATCATATCAAGGAAATTGTAATGTATACGACAAAGACGTGTTAAAAATCGTACAACAGTGATAAAAAACATAAATAGGTTGTCATTCTGATGATATAACAGTATTAGCATCTAACAAGGAGGAATTAGAGATTGCTTTAAATAAAATGGAAGCGGTACTGACAGATCAATACTGTATGAAAATAAATAAAAGTAAAACTAAAATACTGGTATGCAAAGGAATAAAAAGTAGGGAAAGAGCGAATATAAAGATAGGAGACGAAAAATAGAAGAAGTGGCTGATTTTAGATATCTAGGAAGTCAGATAAGTCAGGACGGAAGGAGTAGTAGGGATATAAAGCAGAGGATAGCGCAGGGTCGTGTCGCCTTTAATAAAAAGAAGTCACTTCTATGCTCGCGAACGGTTAATTTAGAAATTCGAAAAAGGTTGTTAAAGGTGTATGTTTGGAGCACGGCGTTGTACGGGTGCGAAACATGGACAGTGGGAGCGGCGGAAAAGAAAAGGTTAGAAGCGTTCGAAATGTGGTGTTATAGGCGGATGATGAGGATATCGTGGGTAGAAAAGGTTAGAAATGAAGAGGTATTGGAAAGAATAGGAGAACAGAGGACTCTATGGAAGTCAATAAAAAATAGGCGAGATAGGTTGGTAGGACACCTTCTCAGGCATGAAGGTCTAGTCAGAGACATATTAGAGGCAGAAACAGGAGTTAGGAGGGGTAGAGGTAGACCTAGGTTAGATTACTGTTCGCAAATAGTTAAGGATGTGGGCTGTTCTAGTTTTAGGGAAATGCGAAGATTAGCTCAGGATAGGAAAGAGTGGGGGTACGTGTCCAACCAGTCTTAGGACTGACGACTTTATGATGATGATGATGACATTCTGATGAACTGTTAAAAAGAATTACCGGGCAGGGGTATACCGACTAGTTTTTATTTTGTTTGTTTATTACATGCATACCTTCCTGTTATGTCAACTGCCCTCTGTACTGCGTCAGCAAAAGCCAAGGTGTCTCCCAGAGCTTTTTGGGCGTAAGTCAGATGATGGGCTTGATCTATCATTCCACCTTCCACAAACAAAAAGTATCCGTTATCATTTTTTGACAAGACGCTTATAGCTGCTTGAGTCATTTCTGTCAGACTCGGTTCTACATTTGGATCGCGATCCAAATCGAAACTCATGTGACTGTCAGTAAAAAGCCCTACAACAAAGCCAAAAATTCAGGCTACCGAATACTGCACATACTAACGTCATGGGATACTACATTTAGCAGTAAATACTGCCAGTTACCGAATAAGGTTTGATAGTAAACTCTTACTGACCCAGTAAATTTTGCACTTCGCCTAACTTGACGAGTTGGTTCCTGTTCCAAACGTACTCGGATTTGCCAGTCTTCGATTTGAATTGTTTCCATTTTTCTATCAGATTAAGCCCGTCGAATCTACTCCCTTCCTGGCCCTGTTCGTCAAATTGTCCCCTTGGCAGAAACATCTTCCTTCCACCTCCTAATATGACGTTGAAATTTCTCCCTGTTTCTCCATTGATAAGTTGATAAGCAATGTCACGCGTAATGTTCGGGTTACAACCAGATCTTTTTACCTCCACATCGTTTTCCCAATTTCTATCGGCCGTATATGCGTACGTCCCTTTTAACAGAAAGATATACTGTGATTAAATAAAAACGGACAAACAGACACATGAGTGATCGTACAAGGGTTCCGTTTTTCATTCGGACGTACGGAACCCTAAAAAGGTACCTAATATATATATTAGGGTGCTTCAAAGAAAATTTTTATTTTTTTTTTCTAACTCTTACCCCCTCAAATGTTTCTATTTGATGTAACAAAAATCCTCGCCAGACATGAGCCGTATAGCTCAAATCTAAGGGGTCGCTATTTTTATTTTAGTTTCCCATTTAATTCCCATTTTTGTAAAGATAATCATACTTTGTCTTAGAGTTTTGTAAAGCTCAAAGACTCAGCTTTGAGAATATGAAACGGTTTTTTGGAAAAAATTGCGTAAACTATGTGTAAATTCAATTTAAAACAAAAAAGAATTTTTCCTATGTTAATTAAATGGGAAACTAAAATAAAAATAGCGACCCCTTAGATTTGAGCTATACGGCTCATGTCTGGCGAGGATTTTTGTTACATCAAATAGAAACATTTGAGGGGGTAAGAGTTAGAAAAAAAAAATAAAAATTTTCTTTGAAGCACCCTAATATATATATTAGGTACCTTTTTAGGGTTCCGTACGTCCGAATGAAAAACGGAACCCTTGTACGATCACTCATGTGTCTGTTTGTCCGTTTTTATTTAATCACAGTATATCTTTCTGTTAAAAGGGACGTACGCATATACGGCCGATAGAAATTGGGAAAACGATGTGGAGGTAAAAAGATCTGGTTGTAACCCGAACATTACGCGTGACATTGCTTATCAACTTATCAATGGAGAAACAGGGAGAAATTTCAACGTCATATTAGGAGGTGGAAGGAAGATGTTTCTGCCAAGGGGACAATTTGACGAACAGGGCCAGGAAGGGAGTAGATTCGACGGGCTTAATCTGATAGAAAAATGGAAACAATTCAAATCGAAGACTGGCAAATCCGAGTACGTTTGGAACAGGAACCAACTCGTCAAGTTAGGCGAAGTGCAAAATTTACTGGGTCAGTAAGAGTTTACTATCAAACCTTATTCGGTAACTGGCAGTATTTACTGCTAAATGTAGTATCCCATGACGTTAGTATGTGCAGTATTCGGTAGCCTGAATTTTTGGCTTTGTTGTAGGGCTTTTTACTGACAGTCACATGAGTTTCGATTTGGATCGCGATCCAAATGTAGAACCGAGTCTGACAGAAATGACTCAAGCAGCTATAAGCGTCTTGTCAAAAAATGATAACGGATACTTTTTGTTTGTGGAAGGTGGAATGATAGATCAAGCCCATCATCTGACTTACGCCCAAAAAGCTCTGGGAGACACCTTGGCTTTTGCTGACGCAGTACAGAGGGCAGTTGACATAACAGGAAGGTATNGGAGAACAGAGGACTCTATGGAAGTCAATAAAAAATAGGCGAGATAGGTTGGTAGGACACCTTCTCAGGCATGAAGGTCTAGTCAGAGACATATTAGAAGCAGAAACAGGAGTTAGGAGGGGTAGAGGTAGACCTAGATTAGATTACTGTTCGCAAATAGTTTAGGATGTGGGCTGTTCTAATTTTAGGGAAATGCGAAGATTAGCTCAGGATAGGAGAGAGTGGAGGTACGTGTCCAACCAGTCTTAGGACTGATGACCTTATGATGATAATGAGACAAAATAGTCTTCGGTCATTTTTTACATTAGTTGACATTAGAATTGAGACATGAAGTTTAGTCAGGTAGGTAGTACTCACCAAGTAGAATCGTGTGGTAGTATTAATTACATGCGGAAAACAATGTAGCTTGAGATACAGGCTCCTAAAGTTTTCTTAATTGGAGGAAATTCCGGTTGGTACGGCCCTGGCTGCAGCCCTTTGTCAGGTGTTTTCGCCAAATATGATTAATGACGTCATTGTTTAGTTAGGTAGATGTATGACAGACTCGAGTTTTTTTAATGCCCCTGCTGGGGGCTGATATATTAGAATAATGTTAGGAAGATATGTTGTAGGACAAACGATGTTTGGCGGGAACAGCTGACGGAAGGCTGAAGCCAGGGCTGTACCTACCGGAATTTTTTCAAATTAAGAAAACTTTAAGAGCCTGTATCTCAGTCACATTGATTTTTAAACAAATAATAAACAAAATTCTAGTAAATATTACTACACTACTTTACTTGGTGAGTACTACCTACCTCACTAAACTTCAAGTCTCAATTCCAATGTCAATTAATATAAAAAATTACCTAGTCTTCTATTGAGAATACTTATGGCGTACTGATGAGATCAAAATTACCTGTTGGTGTTCATTTGTTAATTTAAGACAGTAAAACAATTGTTACTTACACATATATGCATTAGATACTTTGCGTTAAAATATTTTGTAAATTTTACGTACTAGTGTAAGGTATATTAACCAAGTGCTCATATAAAGTTAATTGAGCTTCATTATTCCAAAAATCAGCTGACTCTTCTAAGGGGCAGTGAGTTTTACACACAGGCCTTATGCGTTTAATTGGAAGTCCGTCATCAGTAATGGAAACTAAAAACAATAAGTTGAATCGATATTAAATCATTGAGATAACAAAAAGGGGCACGTGTCTAGAGGGAAAAGTTATAAGAGCCCTGACTATACCCCCCCCTCCCCCCAATCCTCTCGTGCAATCCAAATAGAATAGAAATTTGTTTCTAGATGTACTATAAAAATTCTTGCAAACTTTTCGCGTTCCGTGAACCAGTTTTCAAGTTGTACCTGCTCCAAAATCAGTGTGTATTATAGGAAAGTAAACCCATTAAGATAATAATAATTACATCATTCATAAGAGAGATCGTTAATTTTTAATGAGAATTTGAAAAAAAAATGTTTAGTTACATAAAACGCATTAAATTTCTGAAGTTTGAATTTGATAGAACGTTTTGATCGTCTGTTCGCTTCGTGAAATTTCACAGATTTATCGCCAAAAAAAAAAAATAAATGTAGCATATCATCTCGGCTATCCGTTTACTATAAATGTAACAGTATTTTAGACAAATGGTTCTATTGTTACCCATAAAAGTGATCAATTTAGAATAATTATAAAAAAATTGGTTAGTATTGTCTTTAAAAGTGATACTAATTATCCGAAACCAAAAAGATCAGTAGCTGTAATGCTATTGTTTTTACTTGAATCATTAATAAAAAATTCATGCATATAATAGCGTTAAATAGCGTACGTATCTACAGGTAATGCAAAATATGTCGCGCGAGCCAAAAATGCACAATTTGTTAAACGTGTGGCATGTAAAACATTTTTCGTGTAATTAACGAACTGAACTCGCAAAATCTTTTGAACAAAACTAACAGCCTTAAAACTTTAAATTTTGGACTGATATTATTTTATTATTTATATGGAAAGTTGGCTGTAGGTATTTGTACAAATTTTCCTAAACCGTTGTCGTATTTTTCAAAATATTATGGTCCCTTTTGACGATAGGATAACTCGCAGTTCGGTTCTCAANAGTGCTACCTTGGCAGCTCTCCAGGCGTTTTTCGCTGAACAACTGGAGAGTAGACCAGCGACAAACTCATTAAGGGTACTATCACTGACAAATTATAGCTTGTGGAGTATTTTCTTCGCCATTTCAATTTCGGGATAAGCTATGTGTAGTGCCACCTTGGCAGCTCTCCAGGCGTTCTTCGCTGAACAGCTAGAGGGTAGACCAGCGACAAACTCATTAAGGGTACCTACTATCACTGACAAATTATAGCTTGTGGAGTATTTTCTGTGCCATTTCAATTTCGGCATACGCTATGTGTAGTGTTACCTTGGAGACTCTCCAGTTGTCTTCAGCTGAACAGCTGAAGGATAGGCTAGCGACAAACTGATTAAGGGTACTATCTTTCAGCGACAAATTATAGTCTTTTTACGTCATGTCATTTTCGGCATACGCTATGTGTAATGCCACCATGGCAGCTCTCCAAGCGTTTTTCGCTGAACAACTGGAGAGTAGACCAGCGACAAACTCATTAAGGGTACTATCACTGACAAATTATAGCTTGTGGAGTATTTTCTGTGCCATTTCAATTTCGGGATGCGCTATGTGTAGTGCCACCTTGGCAACTCTCCAGGCGATTTTCGCTGAACAGCTAGAGGGTAGACCAGTGACAAACTGATTAAAGGTACCACCTTTCAGCGACAAATTATAGCCCTTGCAGTATTTTTTTTTCATTTTTAGTTTGAGAAACGCTCTATGTATTTCACCTTGTGACTAGCATGAAACAACTTTATGGTACTCTAGGTTAGATTCATCATCATCATCATAAGGGTCGTCAGTCCTAAGACTGGTTGGACAGTAGGTACATACATAATTTGACCTTAACAGTTCCATTTTGTTTAAACTGGAAAATAATTTGCCGATCGAGTACTTGACCCAAAACAATTTTATAAAAACGTTTTGCGAATACCAATCGTTAAATGGTAGCCATGAAATTTATAATTAAATTTGTGTATAAACTTTTTTGCCATTATTGATGGTTTTATGAATATCAGATTAAAGTTCTAGATAAGTACGCGGCGCATTTTGCATTGTAACATTTAAATTGTAGCAAACTGTGCTTAAATTGAATGACCGTATTTAACTTATTACCCTTTTTAATTTATTGGCCATTAAATTCACCTAGGTACCTATGTTATTAAACATTTTCACATTTGCACAGTATTCGTTTTGTTGGATTTGAAACTTTAATTTTTATTACTTCTATTTTTTTAATTCATCCACTTTCATGAATAATTAGTAGATAAAATAAAACCGTTATTGTTCATTGCTTATTTTACATAATTTCTTGGAGTCTTTGCACCCCTAAATGTTTAATTTCTATCTAGGCGTTAGTAAATATAAATAATTTCGTACAATTTATAACAATTTTATATCGAACATTTAAAGTATGTAATTAACTCTTATATTTATTATTAAAAATATAACAATTAATCACACTCTATAAATAATGGTCAAATTTTTGATTATACAAATTAAAAATTAAATGATTTTTTTTAAGTATGTTAAAGTTAAACTAGCACCATGTAGTATACCCTGTATATCATACCGGTTAGAACTACGAGTTGTGGAACAATTGAACTATTTGCAGAGAATGATAGGTTAGGAAATATAACAACAATAATATAAACAAATAAAAGTTTTACTATAAACTTATAAAAATATAAATAAATCGATTAAATATGAAGAAATGCAGTATTTGTGAAAATGCAGATGGAATATATAAGTGTCCTGTATGCTTAGTTTATTAGTAAGTGTTGTTTTTACGATATTTTTTTTTTATATTACAACAATAATACGAAACTTGTAGTTGTTCTGTTGCTTGTTGTAAAAAACACAGGGAGCTAAAGTGTGACATTGCAAAGCCAGTTGAAAATACTGAAACTGCTATAAAAGATGAAGCCACTGCCCAAAAACTGATAACTAGTGACACTGTACCCGTAGAAAAGCTCAAATTGCTACGTCAGTTAAACAAAATATATATTAAAAAATATGCGTATCATCTTTAATTTAATTTTAGGCGAGAGCAGCGAACTAAAAAATGTTCTTGCAAATCCACATTTGAGAAATTTACTGAAAGCAGTGGACTCATGTTCTGATCCTGATAAAGTTATGCAAAAAGTAATGCTTGAACCGATTTTTGTGGAGTTTGCTGACGAGTGCTTGAAAATTATTGAACCAGAGAGTAACAGGGAAAATACTTATTAATTATTCTAATTATTTTCTTATTTGTCATAGTGTGAAATGGTATTAAAAGTGCTCAAATAAAACAGTTAATTATAATTTGTCAGGGATTTTTTTTAATACAGTCATTAATGAGCCGTGAAAAAGTCGAAAAAACATTCACGACGTCGTATAATAACTGTAATTGTTGGTTATGTACTTACATAGACCCTGTTGTATACCCACCCTGCGAAAAACGGCGTTGGTTCAGGGGTGTAAACGCTGGGTTGGTACGGCGGTGGTCAGGGTTCTATTCGCGGTCGATGTTTTCTCTTTTTTATTAATTTCTTCATTTTTTTACAAATTTAAAATAACACGTAAAAATTTATAAAAATTATTTATTTATTTGGTCTTCTTCATTATTGCTAAACAGTAGGTAAATTATATTATTAAACGAGTATACGGGTGTAAAATATCACAGTTCATTATGAATGATTTTATTGGCAGTGGGAGCGACGTAGCTGTGTAAATCATTGGGTATGGTACCATTGTGAAGTTCCTGGGATAGGGCCCAGTACCTTTTCCTCAGATGGTGAGCTGCTGCTTTAGGCTGACGGTTTCTTGTAAAAATTCCTTTCTTATTGCCTCCTACCCTTGTGTAGACTGAAACAAATCAAAGATTGGTGTAATAAATAAACTACATGCTTAGTTTACGATGAGGCAGAAGTAGAAACTTCTTTCATTCTCTGTTTAAATGATATCATGATAATTTTTATTGGAGATAAAGATCAAACGTCTTAGCAAGTGTTACCTTGGGCTGTCTTGAAGTCTGCAAAATTCCAAATAAATTCACCTATAAACCACCCCTCCTTCCTAAGAGCATCAAACGCTTTGAAGTGTCTTGACATCAATTCTACTTGAAATTCTTCCGACCATACATAACCAGGTTGCTAGAAGTTTAACATAGTATAATTTATTTAGGGTTGTTTTTTTGTTGTTCTTACCAAATGTAGTCCTTCTTGGGTGTCTGCCCCGTATTCTGACATTAATACTGGTTTATTATACTTAGCGTGCCACGATCTTGCTTCAGCTATTACCTTATTGGTAATCATGTCCAGTTTACCAGTGTTCTGGTACCACGCATTGTAACGGTTAAAGCTAATAATATCCACATGTTTTCCCTACAAATAAAATTTTCGTTATTAGCTGTTGCAGAGTGGGATATTTTCTTTTAACCACGACTTACTGCCCTATCTTCCTCAACCCATCTCGCTATCGACATCGTAATTGGTCTGGATCTATCCAGATTTCTTACATGTCTCGCTACAGCCCTGAAAAGTTATTTGTGTGTTTGCAGTAGGAAGGTTATGATAATGGTAGTTTTATTACCCGAAATATTCATCGGCTGCTTGTGTTTGAGTTCTCGGCTCGTTGGCAATCGACCAGGCAATAACACTTGGACGATTTTTGTCCCTTCTTATCAGTTCTGTTAATGAATCCTTGTGTTTTTCTAACAGGAGGAATGAAAAGGCACTAAAAAGCGATCAACACTTATAATCATGAGGATACCGTGGATAGAGAAGGTTAGAAATGAAGATGTATTAGAAAGAATAGGGTAACAGAAGATTCTATAGAAGTCAATAAAAAATAGGCGAGATAGGTTTGTGGAACACCTTCTCAGGCATGAAGGACTAGTTAGAGGCAGAAATGAAAGTAAGGAGGGGTAGAGGTAGACCTAGGTTAGATTCATCATCATCATCATAAGGGTCGTCAGTCCTAAGACTGGTTGGACACGTACCTCTACTCTTTCCTATCCTGAGCTAAACTTCGCATTTCCCTAAAACTAGAACAACGGTCCACATCCTTAACTATTTGCGAAGAGTAATCTAATCTAGGTCTACCTCTACCCCTCCTAACTCCTGTTTCTGCCTCTAATATGTCTCCGACTAGACCTTCATGCCTGAGAAGGTGTCCTACCAACCTATCTCGCCTATTTTTTATTGACTTCTAGGTTAGATTACTGTTTGAAAATAGTTAAGGATGCGGGTTGTTCTAGATTTAGGGAAATGAGAAGAAGTTCGGTAAGGGAAACAGTGGAAGTGTGTGTACAACCAGTCTTAGGACTGACCACCTTATGATGATGAATAAAACAAAAATTTTAGAGTATGCGTTCAAAATGTTACAAGTGAACGATGAGGTACCGTAGATAGAAAATGTTAGAAATGAGGAAGTATTAGAATGAGTAGGAGAATAGAGGGGCTATGGAAGTTAATAAGAAAAAAGGCGAGATGGTTTGGTAGGACAGCTTTTCAGGCATGAAGCGCTAGGAACTAAGAGAAGTAGAGATAGATCTATATCAGATTACTGTCCAAAAGTAAGGAGTGGTAGAGGTAGACCTAGGTTAAATTACTGTTTGAAGATAGTTAAGGATGTGGGTTGTTCTAGTTTTGGGGAAATGCGAAGATTAGCTCATGATAGGAAAGAGTGGAAGTACGTGTCCAACCAGTCTTAGGACTGAGGACCTCGATTTTTCGTCTTAAGGTACTTACTCGGTGTCAACGCTGGGACATTCGTCAATGATCATTATTCCCATCTGATCAGCCAGATCCATGATTTCGTCAGCGTACGGATAGTGGGACGTCCTGTACGCATTAGCGCCTATCCATTTAATTAGATTGTAATCCTTCATAACCAAAGGCAGATCCAAACCCTTGCCCCTTATGTCCGAGTCCTCGTGACGGCCAAAGCCATGCAAATATACCGGACGATTATTAATAAAAAACGACGAATTAGTCCATTTTAAAGTCCTTATACCAACAGGTAACCGATAAACGTCTAGGGTGTCTCCTTCCGCTGATTTTAATTCAACCTAATGTAAACATCAGTAGAATATAGAACTAAACAAGAAAAAAGTTCATCCCCAAAATATATCCGCTTGCGTAATTAATTAATTGTGTTATTGTGCGGTAATTAGGGATAAAGTTATTTGTCAAACCTGAAGCGTGTATAAATATCCTGGACGAGGATTCATTAAGTATGGCCACCATAGTCGAGCTCCTGGCACAGTTAATTCCACGCTTGTTGAATAGTTAGAATCATTACAAACCCCGTAGGCCACTTCGTAGCCTTCATTGTCTAACAACTTCAAAACGCACGTCGTCGAATTTTGTACTTCAGTCACAAACGTCAGGTCGCATTTGATGATGCCTGCGATAAGTTTTTAAATTATAAACCATTTTCGTTCAATGATCGCCCTGTATGTTCGTTACCTGTGCCACCTTCTATGTCCGTGTGAACAGTTATATCGTCAAGGTAATCGATCGGCGTGGTATAGAGTGTCACGGGACGATGTATCCCACCGTAATTAAAGAAATCGAACGTGTAGGACTGGACCAACTTCTTACCACGATCTCTGTAAGAAAATGAATCCTTTTTTTCGCACATGATATTCATACCGACTTAATTTATTGTATCTAATTAACACGATTTAGTATACCATTACGTAGGTGCTTGAATACCTACTTAATGAATATTAAACCATTCTCTTTTAAGTTTATACAATGTAATATTGAAAATTACTGTAAATTTAGATTTTGAAAATACATATAGCACACAAGTATTTACGTATATTAAGCTAACACTAATACGCTATATGAGTTGTTTTTCGCTGAACAGCTGGAAGATAGACTAGCGACAAACTGATCGAGAGGGCTATCTTTCAGCGATAAATTATAGCCTTTGCAATATTCTTCTACGCTATTTCAGATACGCTATGTGCAGTGCCCCCTTGGTGGCTCCCCTAGTCGTTTCTCGCTAGACTACGGGGCGATAAAGTAATGACAAACTAATTAAAGGTACCAACACTCAGCGACAAATTATAGGCCTTTTAATATTTTTTTACGTCATTTCTATTACGGGATACGCTACGTGAACTACCACATTGGCAACTTTCGCGGCGTTTTCACTGAACAGATAGAGGGTAGACCAGCGACAAACTGATTAAGGGTACCATCTTTCAGCGACAAATTATAGTCTGCAGTATTTTTCTACGCCATTTCAATTTCGCGATACGCTATGTGCAGTGTCACCTTGACGGTTCCACTAATCGTTTTTCGGTGAACTGCGGGGGTATAAGCTAGTGACAAACTGATTAAAGGTACCACTGTTCAGCGCCAAATTATAGCCCTTGCAGTATTTTTTACGTCATTTCTATTATGAGATACGCTATGTGTAATGCCACATTGGCGGCTGTCTAGTCGTCTTTCGTTAAACAACTGGAAGATGGGCTAACGACAAACTGATTAAGGGTACTATCTTTCAGCGACAAATTATAACCTTTGCGATATTTTCTACGCCATTTCAATTTCGAGGTACGCTATGAGCAGTGCGTCACCTTAGCGACTCTCCAGCCGTCTTCAGCTGGACAGCTGAAGTATAGAGTAGCGACAAACTGATTAAGGGTACTATCACTGACAAATTATAACCTGTGCAGTATTTCGGGACACGCTATGTGTAGTGCCACTTGGGCGGCTTTCCAGTCGTTTTTCGCTCAAAAGCTGAAGGATAGACTAGCGACAAACTGGTTAAGGGTACTATCTTTCAGCGACAAATTATAGGCTTGCGATATTTTCTACGCCATTTCAATTTGGAGGTACGCTTTGTGCAGTGCGTCACCTTGGCAACTTTCCAGGTGTTTTTTGCTGAACAGCTGATGGATAGACCATCGACAAACTGATTAAGGGTACTATTTTTCAGTCTTTTTACGTCATTACAATTTCGGGGTACGCTATGTGTAGTGCTACCTTGGCAGCTCTCCAGGCGTTTTTCGCTGAACAACTGGAGAGTAGACCAGCGACAAACTCATTAAGGGTACTATCACTGACAAATTATAGCTTGTGGAGTATTTTCTTCGCCATTTCAATTTCGGGATAAGCTATGTGTAGTGCCACCTTGGCAGCTCTCCAGGCGTTCTTCGCTGAACAGCTAGAGGGTAGACCAGCGACAAACTCATTAAGGGTACCTACTATCACTGACAAATTATAGCTTGTGGAGTATTTTCTGTGCCATTTCAATTTCGGCATACGCTATGTGTAGTGTTACCTTGGAGACTCTCCAGTTGTCTTCAGCTGAACAGCTGAAGGATAGGCTAGCGACAAACTGATTAAGGGTACTATCTTTCAGCGACAAATTATAGTCTTTTTACGTCATGTCATTTTCGGCATACGCTATGTGTAATGCCACCATGGCAGCTCTCCAAGCGTTTTTCGCTGAACAACTGGAGAGTAGACCAGCGACAAACTCATTAAGGGTACTATCACTGACAAATTATAGCTTGTGGAGTATTTTCTGTGCCATTTCAATTTCGGGATGCGCTATGTGTAGTGCCACCTTGGCAACTCTCCAGGCGATTTTCGCTGAACAGCTAGAGGGTAGACCAGTGACAAACTGATTAAAGGTACCACCTTTCAGCGACAAATTATAGCCCTTGCAGTATTTTTTTTTCATTTTTAGTTTGAGAAACGCTCTATGTATTTCACCTTGTGACTAGCATGAAACAACTTTATGGTACTAGCTTGGCATACGTCAGACATTTGTCGCCTCAACCAGGCCGAACTCATATAGTTAGTAGTATCTTTTCGGGTCAATTTCAGAATTCGTTGAACATATCAAAGGTACACGTGTGCGGGGTTTGAATTTTAAAAATAATATTAGTAAATAATACATAAGCATGACTGTTGACATTATGTTATGTACATAATAATGTAGAATAATTTGTGTTGAAATCAACTTACGTGTCCGCTTCCGAGACGATCCCCTGGGGTACAGTATCCTGTAGCAGGGTGTTATCGCATGCAACCGTCACCCTATTAACGCCTCCATAGTTCAATAGCGACGTCACCTCTTTCTGGAACGGTAGGTGGCCGATTTCATGATTCATAACTAAGTCTCCGTTGATCCACTGAAAAGATAAATCTTACATACAGGGTGTTTCTTCTTTTTACAAAAACGTAATATTTATGTCGAAGTACTTCTGAAATTTGTAAAAACTGGGGGTTGCTTAAAAACCTACCACTTGAGCTGCATATGACACTGAAGAAAATCGTAGCCAAACTCTCTTGTCTATACCCCATGAAGAGGGTACGAAAAAGGTTCTATCGTACCATACAAGACCGACATGGTCTCTTAAATGACCATCTTCGGTGATGTCATTGTAACTAGAGGGGACAGGCATTAATTGGGTGTCAGAATTTATCTGAAAAAAAAATATAATAACAAAAGGGAGTCCTAGGTGTGTAGATTTTATTGCTTACATTAACCAGGTCGTCTCTGTACCACGTTTCTCTGAAGCCCACAAGTGGGTCAGTTATGGGCGAAACTAGAAAATTCCACAAACCATCCAGAGACATAGTTTCCCTCGTTTCTGACTGTTTTGGGTATAATATGCCTTTCCCTGATACGGCATTGTTTTTGTACAGAATTATCAGCAGCGTGCAGGTTAAGAATTTAAAGCATCTCATGGCAAAAAGAAACTTAAAATCTGCAAAAAATAAGATTACCAGATCAAACGGTTGACAGCTGTGTTCTCATTCTTTTCTCCCTTTTCTCTGTATCTCTTCAATTGTAAACTTCACCTTCGCTTACTCTCATAGCCAAGGTCCTACACACATCAAAAAATCATGCGACTTTAGGAAGACTTATTTTTAAATATTCTATTTTTATCTGCGGTGAAATGTGCTAATTAAACTTGTCATTTCCGCATACAAGTTAGTACACAATAAACCTTTTCTTAAGTGTGCTCTAGATACTAGGCTCATGTGTGAATTACTTGAGGCTACAAATGTTTACATTTTTGTGAATTTAGCCTATAAGTGCTGCAATTAACGTTGTTAATATAATTGAATATTGGAGGTCTGCAAATTTGTGTACCTACGTATTTTCGCATCGATTGTATCATAAAGATAAAAATAGAAGATCACTCACTTTGCTTACAGCCCCCGCCCTAATTTGCATTTTTCAACCTGTTAACATTTTGATTCGTTTATTTTAATTCTTGGTAAATGTCTAGATGATGGCCCTCACCCCCGAAGGGGTTGGGGATGGGTGGGATCGAAAGAGGAGGTCTCCCCCACCACTGTACCATAAAAAGTTCGTGGCGGTCTCACCCCCATAAAAAGTTATGGGGGTTAGATGAGGGTGGGAGTAGGGGAGATCGAAAAAGGGTGGTCACCTAGTAAAACGCCTTAAAACATTTGCGGCGGTCTCACCCCCGTAAAAAGTTATGGGGGTTGAAAGTTGATTATTTTGACAATTTTCATACACTATAATTCAATAAAAAAATTATTTTCAAGCGGGTGGAAGTGGGGATCGAATGAGGGTGGTCACTTGAACAAAACCCGATAACCTAACCTACCCCACCCCATTGATATAGATAGTTAAATAATGTTTTATATAACTTTCTCAATATTTTTATGTATTTTTCATTAGTTTTACCTTTGAATATTGTTTAAGAATGACTATATGAATTTTTACATGCCTAGAAATGTATAAAAATTGGCATATTTATTAACTTTGAACCCCCATAACTTTTTATGGGGGTGAGACCGCCACGAACTTTTTATGTACAGTGGTGGGGGAGACCTCCTCTTTCGATACCACCCACCCCCACCCCCTCGGGAGTGGGGGCCATCATCTAGACCTTTACCTAATTCATAATTGTTATTAGCAAATATTTTAAGATGGTTTTCCTATTTAATTAGGGGATTCTACAAGTATTTATTTCAATATTTCCGTTCCTTCCTTTTTTCTTTAATCGTGAATGTTAAGGTGAACATGTGCCATAAAAGAATGGCACAATTTCTATTAAAAACCGTTACAATTCATTTTACATACAGCGTATATACCTTTGTTTTCTAATTAATAATAATGATCTCTCGAATTGCCGATTGTAACAATAAAATAATAACACATTGGTTGGTGGATATTATTAATGATGTTTGGAGGGACGCATTTTTTTTGAAGTTTTTATGAGTAGTTAACGAATACTAGAGTTTTTGTTTTGTAACTTTTGTGCACTATGAAAGCCACTAAATTAATAATCATAATGTACTACAATACATACCGGGGTTAAGTGGAAAGTAAAAACTTTCATAATGTAAATTCGTAGTATTTCTCGTGCTGCTTTATTATGTGACTTTCGGTACGATCCTGATATTTTCGGTCTAATAAGGTCGGCAATATTAGACTAAAGTACGGTAAATAAATAATTGATGAGAATTTCAAGTTGCTGTCCTAATAATGATAATTTTACTACAATTTAATGTTATTCGCGATATCTTATTGTGTCAACACAATTCCATTAGAAAAACAAATTTTACACAAGTACATAGGAAGAAGCAAAATCGGAATGATTAGAAATGTTGGGTAATTATTTATTATAAACTATTGCTACTGATTATTTATTAGCTTCTTACACATTTATTTGTTTGCTTTTTGGTTTTAAATAATAAAATTTGGTAATAAAAATTAAGTTTAATTCATTATTTTCTAAATGGTTCTGTTTAATAAATTGTACACTTTTTATTTATTTATTTTTTTCAGATATTAGAGTGTTATATAAGAAGCCTAAACAGCAAAGGCGACGTCTTGTGTTTATGTAAGTTTTTAAGTATTGTTTCTTGCTATCTACTAGGTTTTACATTTTTACCATCAAATATTCCAGATTAATTTGTATATTTCGGCAATTTAATTTAAATTGTTGACACGTATATACATTTTATATGATGTGTCAGTGTTTATCTGATCGTGCGTCAGAAATGATTTTATGCCAGAAATTATTAAAAATGAAACATGTATTATGTAACAATAAATATAAACAATTTATGGGATATACAAAAAAATTATACATAGCGTCCAAAAATGTTCAGCTTTTTGAAGTAATTGAAAGGTTGTGTTTAGTCTAGTACAGCCTGTCGTTTTCTTGTTAATACCGTTTGACAAATAGATTTCAATCAATATATTCTCCGAGAATCAATTAAAATGCAAATTTCGATAGCCAAATAATAGTACATAACAATAATAATACCACCCAGTGGCGTAACCGTGTACAAAAGAGGGGTTCGGTAAGAAAAGATGACCTAGGGAAATACAAAACATACAGAAGACAGAAATTTTATTCTGAATTTACTCATAAGTTTTCCGATTTATCAAATTTCAAACATAAACTTCTTGGCTTCGCCTCGTAGCCTAAAGGGCCTCCTGGCTTGTGTACCATGGAATACCGGTAGTTACCGACGCCACTGACCCCCCACGCATATATGTTTGTATTATGTAATAATAATTGTAAATAGTTCGATCACCTACACGTCGTTGGATGTGTACGGTTGACCAATTAATTCAAATAAAAGCCTTGAATTTTGAATAGTAGATTATGCGTAAAAAATCTACCGTTTTTTGTCGTTTGTCCAATTTTTCAATACGTTTATTTAATCTGACACACATTAATATATATGGTTCAAACTTGCATTGGGATAAGCATAGCATACATTTATACATACTAGTTGTGCAAGTAGAAACTCTGATTTTTTTGGTCAAATCCATGGTGTTTTACCATTTTCAAAGCGAAACAGTCATCAAGTCATTTTCGCATATCTTCAAATTTAGGTCTCTTAAGTAAGGCAACACCAATCTGATCGTGAATAGACGGTAATCAGAAGAAACCAAGTCTGGAGACCCGTAAATTGTATCTTTTCTGCAGAGTATCAGTTAATTTGATCAAATGGAACTGGCAACGTTCAGCTCAGCTGTAACAGTCTCACCAGGATCCAGAAGTTAGTAGTAAACGATTCCTTTGCAATCCCATCAGACATAAAATAACACTGATGATGAAGACTGCCCTGAATTAGCGCTTTTCTGTGTTCAAGATTCTTGTACAAAATCTTTTTATGCAGAAAAAGCAAATTCTTGCAGATGTCAACTCTTTGGGTTTTGTTTTCTAATCGATTTATGAGAAACCCATTTTCCTTCCTTCTGTATCTTTTCATGCCAACGGTTTTCGACCAGCAAAACTTCAAGTTCTTCGTCTTCAATTTCTTTTAATGGATCGTCCAAAAGACCAAATTTCCGTCACGAAATCTTGTGAATCTCTTGTTGTTGCTGTCGAATAACTCGCACAATGTTCACCCAAAGTCGAATTCATGAATTCCATAGCTTGAGTAGCAAATTTTTTCATTTGAAAACAATAAAATGTAATGGGGGAAATGCTGCTTATCGACGTCCATCGCTTATAAAATTGATACACACGAAACAAATGACCGAAACGATTAGAACTTATCTCATAAAAACAACAATGACTAATACACTGCATATATCCAAAATGGTGAACGAAATAGATACGTTCAAGTGTATGCTTTTAAATGCAACTTGCTTCAGATCCGAGTTTTTATTCTAAGTACTTGTACATGATATATGTTCACATGTGTCAATAGAGAAAGCGTTCAGCGTAAAAATCAGATTTTATACTATATTTTGCAACAATTTGTTTAATGAAGCATGGATGGATTTACGTTTCTCAAAAGAAACAAGAAAAAAATAGAAATACCAATACGTACAAAATTAGCTATCTTTGTATGGTACGGCAGTGCCTTCTGGTATAAGATTCCAACAAAGGGCAAAAGAAGGACATTATTGCCTTTCTAACCGTAATCTACGAAAGCCTTTATAGTGAGAAAAAAAGGCATTGAATGAACTGAGAACAGAACCCAGGTTGTCCGCATGCCAGGCTTGCGTTATAACCTCTGAACCCTTTACTATGACAATAATTTATCTATGGAACGTTTTAGTCAGTCACAGTAGGGATTGTGAGTAGGGTTGCCACCCGTACTTTATCATAAAGTATTGTACTCTATTTCGACTGTGCGTACGTTATACTTTACAAGACACATAAAGTACGCAAAAATACTTTATTTAAGGCCTTAAGTAAACATCGTAATTTTGTAAGCGATTATTCGAAATTCAGAGTATTTTTACATCAATAATATTGCACAGAAAAATGAAAAGCCATATTTACGGAACAACCTGATTTCCCAAATCTGTTCAAAGTAGTGTCACTTTTGCTGTCCGTTCCAGCCACTTCAGCATTTACAGAAAGAGTATTCTCTGTTATGAACGCAAAGTGGCGGGACGACAGGAAGAAAGCTTCATTAAAACTAATTAAAAATGGACTTTTAGTTTTCTTAAATCTTTGTTTGCTATGTTTAGAGGCTCTTAATATATTTAAGAGCGACAGCAATTTCTTACTGGCTGCTAGGTGTAACAAAAATTATGTTTTCAAAAACAAAAAATAAAATACTTTATTTTTGTGCTGAGTACTTTTTTTTTTAACCATTTAGTCGAGAAATACTTTATGTAAAGCTTGAAAAGGTGGCAACCCTAGTTGTGAGAGTAAGTAACTACGTCCTTACGTCATGATCAGTTTACTAGATCCGTGCTTCTTTTAATTATTTATTGAAACAGAACAACAATGAATCAATAAAGATTCTTCCTGAATGCATTCTTAATTGTTTATTATAGTGTTGTTATTTCGTTGTCAACCAGGAACAAAATATCTTTAATCGATTTTAAACTGCAGATCAGCGGGAGATAATGGTAGGTAATCGAAATTCTTGCATTTTAATAAAAGTTTACGTTTGACATAAATAATTCTGACCTTTAATACGCGCATCATCTTAATTATCAACGAATACTAAAGTTTATCGTTTTGTAATTTAAAACGTATTTATCGTAACGGTTTTTAAAACATGTACACCTTCATGTTTTATACAGTAGCTTCTCTCTTTAAGATTGTACATTATTCAAAGCTGATAATGACATGTTCCTGTGGTTGTTTATCGTTTCGTTATACGATTAAAAAAAAAAAAAGAATTGGCAATGTTGTTTACAAAATGTTTTTAACCGAAAGAACAATTTTCCACAAATTTTAAATTCAAAGAACGATCATGTTGTTTATGGTAAATGTATGGTAAAAAAACGACCATTCGCCTTAAACAGGCGGTTAACCATAAAGCTATAGTCCTAGGGTAAGAAAAGAAAACAAGAACGAAATATTGTCTGACATCAAGAAATGAAATTAAAAAGTTATAAATCAAATATTTTCCTTCGCTAGAACATTCTCCAACTCGAACATAAGTGACTGCATTTAGGAAGATCGGGTTAGGGATGTTGACCTTAATAACTACGTAAAATAGGACAATTTTTTCGTTTAGAAGAAGCAAAAACAATGACGTTAGAAAGCTATAATTTGATAAAAAGATGATATTGAATCTATTGTCGGTCAGTACGAGTACAATTAGAAAAAAGGGTGAAAATGGCGTGGTATGTAACACGGTTTCTAAAGAAGTTGTTGTCACAAGTTACCCGGAGAAGAATGTTGTGACCTTTTGTAACTTGAATTTTAATTAATTACTTGAATTAATAAACTTCCCCGGCTGCAAAATCCCAACCCAAAAATGAATCAGCAAAGATTGGCTATGTGGTTGGCATACACCTAATAAACTATCAGCGCAAGTATAGTGTGAATTACAAGAATAAACAATTGAATATTAGAAACGTCTAATGTTTCGTCTTTAAAAAATACGACTTCTTCAAGGTAGATTTTTAGTTCGGTGAAGAAGCCTTGTATAAAGGCGAAATGTAGTTTGTAGCATATATTTTAAAACTATTTCAGAAGCACCAATATACCAAAAACAAAATTTCAAATGCAGAAATATATTTTCGGAATTTTTAAATTTTGAGAAAAATTAAAAAAGTTATTCATATTTTATGTATGTACATATATGGTAATATCAAGTTCAGAATATCCAAACTCATTTTTACGGTTTATAACAGGGTTCCTTATCGTTAGTTTATTTAATAACAAAACTTTTGCAACAACAATATTCATTTAATAGTAATACTTAGACTTTAAAGATTTCTACCGACTTATCTTATTATAATAATGGTATTGAAAGTAAAAATTTGAAATTAATTACATAATTAATAAGAATTTGGCGCGCAAAATATTTACCCTGTATCCTTTATAAGGAAGTCAATACTCACGTGTTGTGTAAGTTAAATTCCCGTGTCCTCAAACGTATAGAGCACACTTGATATTGGACTGATCGACTGGTAGTTGCTAGTACGGATGTTGTAGCCTTCTGTGATGATTCTTCTTTTCGTGTATCCGAGACGATGTGGGTATTTAGAGTGGTATACACGCAAAAACAAGTTATCGTATTCTATTAAAATACAAACAATTCGTCAGTCAGTTGTACAGTATAATAATAATAGAGTAGTAAGTTGTAACAATGGTGTAACTTGCACCGCACCGCGGCAACACTAACTGGCTTAACTAGATCATCCCAAGGGATTTAAGTAGACGTGGTGGAGGCAATCGCGCGCCAGCAGCAGCACAGTGCCCGTTGACGATGCCTTTGTTGTTGTAGATAGTTGTAGTATAGGTATTGTACGCCGATTGTTATAGTGTCGAGTTTGAATCGTATGTACACATTGTACCGGTCGGACCCGTTCAAACAAGACGCTAGAGCATGCGTGATTCATGCCTATAGGAGTAATGCTATCGACAGGCTATATAGCAGAGGGTAGACGAACCAAAATATAATGACATTGTAAAGGAACACAGCACTTAACACCCAAATGTCTGATAAATACATGGCACCTTCGTGTGTGTTGTCTTCTTCCACCGTAAGCTTATAATCCCAAACATTTGGGCTACCCATTATCCAGCCATGTGAACTTAAACTTAAAATTCAATAACCACATTAGTGTCTACCTATAATGTACTTATGTAAAAGTACTTAACGGTCGGTTAATTGCTAATTATCATTAACGACTATGCATGCATGATTTGCACCTGACAATAATATAACCGAGAAAGTAAAATATACCGGTTAATGCGTATACAATATGATGTTCATGATGTTCTTTCATATTTATGTAAATTATAATTAGATAATGACTATTTTATCCGTGATTGCTGAATGTGCATAAATATACGTTTTATATAATATCTCTCGAAGATGAGCGTTACATTGTTTATGGTAATGAATTATCAATAATTAATAATTAAAAAATACGCGTGATTTTTATGAACGTTTGCCTGGAGGCGTGCAGTGGAAAAATATCAACAATATATTAATCATCCTATCACGTAGTGTATAATAAGTGTTATTCGTTATTTTTCATTTGTTTTTCTTTTCGCAAAATTCCTTGTGCCATGTTTTTCCTCAAAACTGAATATTTTGGTACTCATTCACCAAGAGGCCACCAAGGGAAAATTATGTTTTATTGATGGATTAAATTTTACTTGTCACGTGAGGTGTCATTTCAATGGACTTGTGAAGAGTACTTAAACTACATATTGTTTAAAAATATATGTATTTCCAAAAATGTACGAAAATTGAAATGTTCACCCTTGTCGTAAAACTATTGGTCCTAAAGTTTAAAAAGTATAGGGAAATAAAACGCCTGTGTAAAGAAGCGAAACAACGCATTAGCACGCGCCTGTCCTCTCCAGACGGTGCCGAACCAGTTATAGCGGCTACGGATTGACGATCTCCGAAACACGTCACAGGTGGATTGCCGCTCCACGCGCCTTATAACATGGCCTAACGAACTCGCTAGAATGCATCTGCCGCGCTGACCCATTACACGGAGCAAGGATCGGCATTCCACGCGCCCGTCGCCTCCATGCAAACAAGTCAAATAACGCTCGTGCTTGTCCACTCCAAACAGCGCCGAATCAGTTACACGGAGCATAGTTTGACGATCTCCGCTGCGAGTGATAGGTTGGGCATAGACACACAGGCCACGCGTGGATTGCCGCTCCACGCGCCTTGTAACATGGCCTAACGAACTCGCCAGAACGCGCCTGTTGCGCTGACCCGTTACACCGAGGAAGGATCGGCATTCCACGCGCCCGTCGCCTCCATGCAAACAAACCAAAGAACGCTCAAGGACATGCTTGTCTGCTTCAGATTGCGCCGAATTAGTTACAGGGAGCATAGTTTGACTATCTCCGCGGTGAGTGATAGGGTGAGCATAGACACACAGGTCACGCGTGGATTGCCGCTCCACGCGCCTTGTGACATGACCTGACGGACTCGCTAGGACGCAACTGCTCCTCTAGGCAGTGCTGACCCCGTTACACGGAGCGTGGATCGACATTCCACGCGCCCGACGCCGTCATGCAAAGGACGCGTAAGGACGTGCCTGTCCTCTCCAGATAGCGCCGAATCAGTTACAGGGAGCGTAGATTGACGATCTCCGCAGCGAGTGGGTTGAAAATAGACACACACGCCATGCGAGAATTGCCGCTCCACGCGCCTTGTAATATGACCTATCGAACTCGCTAGGGCGCGGCTGCCTCTCTAGATCGCGTTGACCCCGTTACACAGAGCGTGGATCGACATTCCACGCGCCCGACGCCGCCATGCAAAGAATGCGTAAGGACGTGCCTGTCCTCTCTAGATAGCGCCGAATCAGTTACAGGGAGCGTAGATTGACGATCTCCGCTGCTAGTGATGGATTGGGGACAGACACACACGTCACGCGCGGATTGCCGCTCAACGTTTCTTGTAACAAGGAAGGCGCCTGACACATCAGGCCGCACCGATCCCGTGACACGAAACGTGTACTAGCAATCCCGGTTACACGGGATATATGTAATAAGGGCTTTTTACAGAGCGTGGATTAAAGATCTCCGGGGCGAGTGATGGGTTGGCTATAGATGCACAAGCCATCCGTGGATTATCGCTCCACGCGCCACTAGTCTGCTAATACAGGCCGTGTCTGCCAATCCACGCTCCGTATAATAAGAGCTTTATACGGAGGATGGATTGGCAATCTCTACGACTAATGGGTTGAACATAGATACACACGCCACGCGTGGATTACCGCTCCACGCGCCTTGTAACATGACCTAAACAACGCGCTTTAGGCCAAGCCGATCTTGTTACACGGAGCGTGGATCGATATTCCACGCGCCTGCCTTCGCGGTACAAAGAAGTCAAAGAACGCGCTAGGACGCGCCTATTCGCTCCAGACCGCACGGCGCGTGGATTGCCAATCAACGTTCCGTATAAGAGCTTTATACGGAGCATGGATTGGCAATCTCTACGGTGAGTAATAGGTTGAGTATAGGCATACGCCACGCGAGGATTGCCGCTCCACGCACCTTGAAACATGGCCTAAACAACGCGCTTTAGCGCACGTCGATCCTGTTACACGGAGCGTGGATCGGTATTCCACGCGCCTACCTTCGCCGTACAAAGAAGCCAAAAAAACGCACTAGGACGCGCCTGTTCACTCCAGACCGCACGGCGCGTGGATTGCCAATCAACGCTCCGTGTAATAAGGGCTTTACACGGCGAGTAATGAATTGAGCGCAGACAAACGCGTGGATTGTCGCTTTATGAACTTAATAAGGAAGCTTTTACACTTGAAAATGCATTTGATAATGATTTACAACCGTCTGCTTTCTTTACGTATGTATATTATATTTAAAAAAACCATTAAAGTGGTATTGACTCTAAATCCTTAACTTCACTGTTGCATGTTCCGTTTCCGTACACCTCGCTAATACGTAAATAACTCGTAAAATATTCTTTTGGATGAAAAATAATTTACTGTTTTCCTCTAATTAAAACTTTTAAACTTAATTATTTTGACATTTATGTTTTAAGTGCTCAAATGTCTTGTCCTCGTCTCGTTCTACTTATTCAATGTACTAATGTAAGCTAAAGTGTAGCTGTTCTCTCTAGTTTAAACCAGGAGTCAGGAAATTCTTATTGTTTTTCACTGCCACATGCGTATGGAGGTACTTCATTCATAACCGGATCCTTAATAACATTTAATATTTTAATTGTATTATTAAAACAAGATAACCATTATATATATGTCTATGAATGGATGCGCAAATAGCTTGCTTGATAGGACGAAAAACTAACAAAAGAACATAATAAATCCTTGTTTTTTTTATTTTCTTAGGAATCAGGTTTTTGACCTAATAAACACTGTGTTTTCGTAGGCATGTGACAACATTGGGATTTTTCTTAGATTAACAATAAAAATTTTATGAGACAGTTGCACTTGGACATTAGTACAACAACCTAAAACATCAAGAATTGTAATTTAGATAGGTAATGAAAGATGTTTAGCAGTCAAAGCAAATAAAGTAATATTTACTTAATAACATTTAAAAAAGGTAACAATTTCACTGCATTACCGGTTAATGTTTTGTGAAGTGTTTAATTGACATATTTATTTATATAGCATGATTACAATTCATATTGTTTCATGTTTCACTTACAATTAACGAAAAATGTGATTTGTCGTCCTGTAGGGGTGTGGCGAGTCGATACTTTCTGTGTTTAATGGCATTCGATATCATCGCTCTCATCAACACTTTTATTACTTATACTATAAATATTTCAACGGTCTCCTCAAAAATTGGATAAAATAAAGAATTAACAGTTTATTTGTTTAATTATTTCAATTATTTTTAAATAAATTCTAAAAGTTTTTAAAAATATATATGCATATGTGAAAGGCATCGTAATAATTCGGAAGATATCGCACATTCAAGTGGACTGATTTTTAAAATGCCTATGGTTCCGACCACTTGAATGTGCAATGTGCATTCCCCCAGATGATTGATGTATTTTATTTTTTTCCTTTCTGTTCCACCGGCTTGTTTCCGGTGAAAGTGCGTTAAGCGTTATTTTTCACTGCCACATACGTATGAAGGTACTTCATTCATAAACGAACACTTCGTAATAGGTATTTAATGTTTTAATTGTATTATCAAAACAAGATAACCATTAAATACAAATATATGCTTATGAGTGTGTGTGAATAGTTTGAGAATGGATATCTAACAAAACAAAATAACACGTCATTGTTTGATCTTCCCTTTTTTTTATATTTTTTTTTTTTCGCAATCAGATTTTTGACAAATTATTTACTCGTACACATTAGTACAACAACCTAAAATATCAAGATTTTTAATTTAGATAGGTAATAAAAAAGTCTAACAGTCAAAGCAAATAAATAATATTTACTTAATAAAATTTAAAAAAGGTTACAATCTCACTCCATTACTGGTTGTTGTTTTGCGAAGTGTCTTAATTAAAGTCTTTATTTACAGTGNATTATTTTATTCGATTATGCTAACGTGCCTATCACGTTGAGGTTAGCTACGCCGGGATTCGTTTCAGCAAGTAGATATCCACATATTTAAATGGACCTTGTTGGAGCATACGTAATCCTAAAATGTAGGATCGTACCACAGATGGCGTATACCGCGTCATTTGTGGTGTTTTCTAAAACGCGCTGTTAAGACAGCAGGTAAAAGTTGGTCTGTGTTCTGTCGGAGCTGTCTGCGGCGCGCTGATGAGATCCA